TATGCATTTGTCAAAGCTCATCAAACTGTTCACTTGAAATGATTACTGTTACATTTTATTGTATGTATATTATACCTTGATAGAGTTGATTTTAAAATTCTATCACAACATAATGATCTTAGGAAAGAGAGAAAAAAGTACCCATGGGGAGGTAACTAGTATGTTAAATACAATGGGAAAAAAAAAGGGAACTTTAAAAGCGGAAAATTTGGGTAAATTCCACCTTATTTAAGTGACCACTCTTAGCATCATTAACAGTGAGACAACTTGATAAAAACATACTGTGATGAAAAACTTGGCATCTATAAAGCATTTTTTACATAAAATACTGATTCTAATCAAGCCTTTAGACTTAACTTCCATTTTATGGACTAACCACATAAAGCCAATTTTGCAAAAGAACTAATAATTGAGTTTAGCATGCAGGGAAATATATTTTTACTCTTTATGTTTTCTGTATGTTTGGAAATTTCACAATAAAAATAGAAGAAAGTGATTAGTCAAGAGGTCTGCTAACATAAGAGTACAGTGAATTCACAACAACAGGCCCTGAGGTAATGTAAATTTGCATATAATGTGATTGGAAGTTTTATTTTATAGCAGGCTCACCTTTAGCACTTCATTAGCTTTGTAGTAATGAGGGCTCACATTTAATGCAACTGAAAATTTTAGACTTCTCTTATAGCATTATGGCATAGGTATTACCATTTTTGAGTCATTGAAGTAAAAAAATGACATAGTCATTTTGAATTCTTGTACAACAGAACCTTGAGAGGATAATTTAAGAGAAAATGCTATCCACAAAATTTATAAAGATAATAACTTATTTTTTTGGTTTCATTAATTTACTCGATATCATGTACTTTGGCTTTCAAATGTACATTCAATTCAGATAATAAAATACAGTTAAAATCTTAAGAGAATGAGGGGATTACACTCCCCAACTTCAAGCTCTACTATAAGGCCACAGTAATCAAGACAATTTGGTACTGGCAAAAGAACAGACCCATAGACCAGTGGAACAGAATAGAGAGCCCAGATATTAACCCAGGCATATATGGTCAATTAATATATGATAAAGGAACCATGCATATACAATGGGGAAATGACAGCCTCTCCAACAACTCATGTTGGCAAAACTGGACAGCTACATGCAAGAGAATGAAACTGGATTACTATCTAACTCCATACACAAAAGTAAACTCGAAATGGATCAAAGACCTGAATGTAAACCACGAAACCATAAAACTCTTAGAAGAAAATACAGGCAAAAGTCTCTCGACTATAAACATGAGCAACTTTTTCCTGAACATATCTCCTCGGGCAAGGGAAACAAAAGCAAAAATGAACAAATGGGACAACATCAAGCTAAAAAGCTTCTGTACAGAAAAGGACACCATCAACAGAACAAAAAGGCATCCTACAGTATGGGAGAACATATTTGTAAATGACAGATCTGAGAAGGGGTTAACATCCAAAAAATATAAAGAACTCATGTGCTTCAACACCTAAAAAGCAAATAACCTGATTAAAAAATGGGTGGAGGATATGAACAGACAATTCTCCAAAGAAGAAATTCAGATGGCCAACAGGCCCATGAAAAGATGCTCCACATTGCTAATTATCAGGGAAATGCAAATTAAAACCACAATGAAATATCACCTCATACCAGTTAGAATGGCCAACATCCAAAAGACAAGGAACAAAAAATGCTGTCTAGGATGCAGAAAAAGGGGAACCCCCCTACAATGCTGGTGAGAATGTAAATTAGTCCAACCGTTGTGGAAAGCAATATGGAGGTTCCTCAAAAAACGAAATATAGAAATACCATTTGACCTGAAAATTCCACTCCTAGGAATTTACTCAAAGGAAATAAGATACCATATTCAAAAAGACATATGCAGCAGCATTATTTACAATAGCCAAGATATGGAAGTGACTAAGTGTCTTTCAGTAGATGAATGGATAAAGAAGAGGGGGTACATATACACAATGAAATATTATTCAGTCATAAGAAGAAAACAAATCCTACCATTTGCAACAACATGGATGGAACTAGGAGGTATTATTATGCTCAGTGAAATAAGCCAGGCAGAGAAAGATAAGTACCAAATGATTTCCCTCATTTGTGGAGTATAACAATGAAGCAAAACTGAAGGAACAAAACAGCAGCAGACTCACAGACTCCAAGAAGGGACTAGTGGTTACCAAAGGGGAGGGGTGGGGGAGGAGGGAGGGAGAAGGGGTTTGAGGGGTTTGAGGGGTTTTATGATTGGTACACATGGTGTGTGTGTGTGGGGTCACGGGAAAGACAGTGTAGCACAGAGAAAACAAGTAGTGACTCTGTGGCATCTTACTACGCTAATGGACAGTGATTTCAATGGGCTGTGGGGGGCTTGATAATATGGGTGAATATAGTAACCATAATGTTTTTCTTGTGAGACCTTCATAAGAGTGTATACCAGTGATACCTTAATAAAAAAAATCTTAGAGAAAGAATCGCATAGTCTATAGTTCGTCCTGCAGAGCTTACACCAAACGTGAGTTAATAAAAAATTTCTGGGTATCTTTGACTTATCACATTAACTTTCTCCCCATTGTGTTAAACATTTTCTTCTCAAAAAAAGTAACTGCCCTCAACCCAAATAAAAGGTGTAATTTCAGCATATAATAAAAAATTATGTCCTGGGATAACATAAATCACGTACAGCTTCCAAAAAGACTGCATTTAAATCTCCTGGTTTCTTGGCAAGCTACTTTTAAAATCGGTATGATACGTCAGAGGAAGAGTGTGTGTCTGTGTGACAGAGAGTATTTCAAAAATTTCAGATATATCAATATCAAGTTAAGATTTGTTATTTCATTTAAGAAGCTATTGCTTTATTCCTTGACTAATTCTTGAAGGAGTCAGGAGCTGCAAACAATAGCACATGTAATCCACATATTTTTTTGACAGTCGTAGACAGCAAGACAATATTAACAATAGTTTGTTCATCAGTGTATATCTAATACATTCATCAGTCTCTGGCATATAGCAAGCACTCATTATTTGTTTATCAGTGAGTCTGGTCCCAAAAAACCAGCTAATAATTAGTTAATCACTATATAACTCCTATTCTTTAGAAAAGCACAGGCCATTTATCTTTTCAATTTCTTATGAATGGGAAAACATTTCTTTATTACTGAGTGCCACAAAAAGTTTTTATTCTCATTAGCAACACTGAATGGAAACACAATATAGAAAAGACTGGATAAAGCAGATTAACCAATAAGGGAGAGTAACCAACTTCATGCTAGCAGGAGTTAAAAACCAACATCCAAACATGAAGGATATAATGGAATTTTAAACACCTTTCTCCCTTTTGTACAGATATTTACAGTAAATAAACAACTATTAACTAGAAAAAGAAAACCTATTGCAAATGATATGCAGGCAGAACAAAGAAACTATTACTGTCAATTCCTCTGCTCTTGTGGTCTAGTCTATCCAAAAATTTCATTATGAAATCCTGTAAGTACTCTCCCAATACTACTCATATTTGCTAGCTCGGTTATGCTTTGCACCTGGTAAGTAGAAAGCAAGTGACAGATCATTTAAAAATAGTAGTAAGATTATATTTCACAGATTCTCAAACTGTGATAACTGAGATAATGGGTCTGGCATTATGGTTTTTAACATATTCCATATTTTTGGTAAGAAAGTATTTTTGAGAATGCAGAGTTATATACTGGTATTAGAAGAGATGAGACATTCAGTTGTGGGAACTAACTTCTTATTTTTAGCTTTAAGCTAACAAACACAGGGCAACTTAGCACATTCATGGAAATAACAGGTCATTCAGCCTAAGTGCAGACCTTGTGTGACTGATACCTACTGCTGCTACTAATGGGAGGTTTGGGGGAGCCAGGTGGGGTCCCAGACGGTGACACCATGGATGAAGTCTGGAAATGGAAAATGCGAGAGAACACACCCTTCAGAAAACTTCTGAGACTTGCCCTGTTCCACCAAGGTTCTGAAACTGGCTTCCCCAACTGTATGGAGAAACCATCAGGAAAAACTATTCTACAAATTACTGTTTCTCAAACTAAGCAAGGGCCTGCCAATAGGACTTGGCAGCACACCAAGGTTTAGTCATGACCCTGAATTCAGAGAGTAAAATGGCTGTTTTTATACACCCTGCCCTCCTCACTGTGCCAGGAACAAAGGTGAGTCAGGGTCACTGGGGCTTTTCTAGGCCAGGCAGATGGCAAGCCTTTTCTGGTTCAGCTCACCTCACGGGGTTGTGCCAAAACATGCTCATATTACTTATGTTGGCCTACAGTGCCTCACCCCTCATTTCCCCCAACCCCCAAACCAAACTGAAACATTCCTTAGAGCCTCTAGAGTCCTGAGGGGTACTTAAAAATCAACAGTTCAGATTCACCCTCAACCAATGTGAGAACTCCCTGTACAGAGTCCCTGACAGATGTTTGCCCAGTATCTTCTCATAAGCCTACAGTGCTGCACTTCACCCCAGGGGAGCTTATTCTGTCATTAGGTCCCATGACCCCCAAAAGATTAAAAGTCACTGTTGTAACTTTTTTTGCCTTGCTTCTCTCCTCTCAAAAAATCAACTTATGCCCCTGAATCCAGAACTTTCCATATGCAGGAGATTTTCTAGGCTCTGAACTTACATATGTCAATTTCTACACTATTAATTTGACTACTTATTATGTACCTTGTAGAAAATTTAAAATTAGTATCATCATTGTAACTTAATTCTTTTGTTATTTAATATTTCATGATTATAAACTCTTCATAGCAGGTTCTGTGTCTTTTTGTTAACATGTTCTACCTTGCATGAAGCAGGTACTCAAAAATAACCCTGTGGGCACAAGATGAAGATGGTGAATTATGTTCAAATTAATCAGTTTATAGAAACTGAATTCTAAAGGTACATATCATAACTGCAATGTTGTTGGGGCTGGGCAAAATGCCACAATTAGCTGCCACCTCTCACCTCAGCTTTACGAATATTTTCTCTAGCTTCATCTATCTTCTGTTCCAACTCTGCTCGGCTTTGTTCTGATACTGCAACTCCATGACATTCCAGATCATCTAGAACCTATTAAAGAAAATAGGAAAACATGACTGTTTTTTCTTTTACTTTTTTTCTTAAATGATTAGAGTATTTACATACTTTAAAGACCTTACTGATGAGTGGCCATGATTCCTTTTTTATTTTCTTCATTTATTTGTTAAAATAAACTTTTGAAATAATTATAGATTCATAAACAGTTGCAAAAGTAGTAGAGTCCCTTCACCCAGTGACAACAACTAACATAACTATAGTACAATATAATAACCAGGAAATACACGGGCATAATCTACAAACTTTCTGTGGATAAAAACTTACATGCATGTTTTGATATTCATATCTTTCAATTTTTAAAAATTACATGTATACTAAGTATTATTGCAAAACAACAACTAAGACAAAATGACAAATCTCTGTTGTATCTGTACCCCCCAACCATGTGCCCCCTCCCCAAAATAATCACTGTCCTATCAATTTATTCATATTTTTTCAAAATATTTATGTTTTTCTACATACCTGCAGTTTTGTTTAAAAAAATGAGATAATCCTTTCAGAGCATCTAAGAAAACTTTGATGTTTGTAGAAATAGATGGACTTCATTCTCTAACCCATGGAATCCATAATTTAACTGTATTATGTGTTATTTACTCTTACTCTATTACTCTACTGCTATTTGAGTTTTCAAAATTCTCCATATTATAAATAGTACTGTACAACCTAGTCAATGCCTATCTGAACACACATGGGAATTTAGTTAAGATAAAAATACAGAAGTGGAAATTGTATATTATGACTTTAATTTTTTGGTGGGAACTGCCAAATTCCCCAACAGGTTGTACCTACTCTTCTACTAGTAGTGTGTGACAAATAGCATGTTTCTCTTTATCTCATCAACACTGGATATTGTCAATCTTTGAAATTTTTGCCACTATGATATATAAAGATTATCTCACGGTTTCAATTATCATTGCTGATTAATAATAGAGAGTATTACTTCATATGTTGCTGCACCTGTATTTCTACTTTTCATATCCTCTTATCCATTTTTCTGATTTTTTATTAAATACATTTCTTTCTACATATTAGTCCTTAACTATTATTTATGTTACAAATATTTCCTCTCATTCTTTTATCTTTCTCTTAACTTTTAAAAGTTCTTTAGTTTTACAGAAATATTTAGTTTTTATGTAGTGTTATCTGTCAATCTTTTCCTTTTTTGGTCCTGGATTTTATGTCTTGCTTAATTAAGAAGCCATTGGTAATATATCAAAAATATTCTGTATTTCTCCAGTTTTTAATAATCTTGTGTTTAGAACTTAGCTCTTTAACTCTTCTGAAATTTGTTTTGTATATGATGGAAAGGTAGGTATCCAACTTTATATATTTTTTCCCAAACACACAGACAATTGCTCTAACACCATTTACTGAATAAATCCTTCCGTCAAAGATTTGCAATGCCATCAACATGTTTATTGTAAACATTTCAAATATACTCAAAAGTAAAGACTCTAGTATGATGAACTTCCATATTCAAATCACCAAGATTGAACAGTTAACAAGATTTTTCTACATTTGCTTTATCTATTCTTTTATCTTTGCTAAAGCATTTTAAGGAAAATTCCAGACATCATGTCATTTCATTCCTACATGCTTTAGTAAAAGACTCTAAAAATATGAACTGTCAGAAACAAATACAACCATAGTGCCATTATCAGACCTAACAATAATTCCTTGGTAGCCTTAGTATGCTGTTCATTATTAAATTTCCCTGCCTGCCTCAAAATGACATTTTATGGTTGGTTTGTTTGAATCATCCAAAGGTCCATACATACTGTCCTATCAATTTATTCATATTTTTTCAAAATATTTATGTTTTTCTACATACCTGCAGTTTTGTTTAAAAAAATGAGATAATCCTTTCAGAGCATCTAAGAAAACTTTGATGTTTGTAGAAATAGATGGACTTCATTCTCTAACCCATGGAATCCATAATTTAACTGTATTATGTGTTATTTACTCTTACTCTATTACTCTACTGCTATTTGAGTTTTCAAAATTCTCCATATTATAAATAGTACTGTACAACCTAGTCAATGCCTATCTGAACACACATGGGAATTTAGTTAAGATAAAAATACAGAAGTGGAAATTGTATATTATGACTTTAATTTTTTGGTGGGAACTGCCAAATTCCCCAACAGGTTGTACCTACTCTTCTACTAGTAGTGTGTGACAAATAGCATGTTTCTCTTTATCTCATCAACACTGGATATTGTCAATCTTTGAAATTTTTGCCACTATGATATATAAAGATTATCTCACGGTTTCAATTATCATTGCTGATTAATAATAGAGAGTATTACTTCATATGTTGCTGCACCTGTATTTCTACTTTTCATATCCTCTTATCCATTTTTCTGATTTTTTATTAAATACATTTCTTTCTACATATTAGTCCTTAACTATTATTTATGTTACAAATATTTCCTCTCATTCTTTTATCTTTCTCTTAACTTTTAAAAGTTCTTTAGTTTTACAGAAATATTTAGTTTTTATGTAGTGTTATCTGTCAATCTTTTCCTTTTTTGGTCCTGGATTTTATGTCTTGCTTAATTAAGAAGCCATTGGTAATATATCAAAAATATTCTGTATTTCTCCAGTTTTTAATAATCTTGTGTTTAGAACTTAGCTCTTTAACTCTTCTGAAATTTGTTTTGTATATGATGGAAAGGTAGGTATCCAACTTTATATATTTTTTCCCAAACACACAGACAATTGCTCTAACACCATTTACTGAATAAATCCTTCCGTCAAAGATTTGCAATGCCATCAACATGTTTATTGTAAACATTTCAAATATACTCAAAAGTAAAGACTCTAGTATGATGAACTTCCATATTCAAATCACCAAGATTGAACAGTTAACAAGATTTTTCTACATTTGCTTTATCTATTCTTTTATCTTTGCTAAAGCATTTTAAGGAAAATTCCAGACATCATGTCATTTCATTCCTACATGCTTTAGTAAAAGACTCTAAAAATATGAACTGTCAGAAACAAATACAACCATAGTGCCATTATCAGACCTAACAATAATTCCTTGGTAGCCTTAGTATGCTGTTCATTATTAAATTTCCCTGCCTGCCTCAAAATGACATTTTATGGTTGGTTTGTTTGAATCATCCAAAGGTCCATACATACACAGATAATTTTCTTTGATATATGTTAGTTCTTGTTTGATACCAGTGTTAATTACTATGGTCATCACTGTATGTTTCAGTATGTACTAAGGCACACAGTCTTACTATTGTTGTTCTTGGATACTCTTGTACATTAAAAAAACTTTGGGAGTCACTCAGGGATTAAAGATGATGGTGTGAGAGGTGAGACAGAGACCTCCTCCTAAAATCACATATAATATGAAAATATAATTTAATACAACTAATCCTGAAAGAGCAACAGGAAAGAAGGCCGCACCAGATTGCATACACCTGGAGAAAAGAGCAGACTTCACGGAAAAGGGTAACGTACCAAAGCTGTGACTGGGCAGGACCTAAGCCCTTCCTCCACCCCAGCTCACCAAAGGGAGAAAGAGAAAAAGAGTGGGGAGGGAGTGGAGGCCTGGGACTGCTGAACATCTAGCCCTGGATATCTGCTCTGGGAGCATGAACCTACATTGCATGGTGCTCTGGTGATTTAGTGGGGTTGGAAAGCTAAGACAGGCAGAATACCTAGAGAGACAGAGATTCCAGTTGCTTGTGGAAAACAGGGATTCATATCTGGCTGATATGGGTGGGCAGTCTGAGAAACTTCCTAAAAGTGAGAGGGCTGCTAAGGGGCAAGGATTGCACAGAGCTTACTGCTCAGGAGAAAGAACAGGTAGACAAAATTGTCTGGGTGTACTCTGCCCAGCAGGTTGGGAACTTAAATGATCTTTAGGCATTCCATCCCCCGGCTGGCTACACAGCTCCAAGGCCCCCCACCATGATACGCAGCCTGTTATGTCTTCCTCCTGGCTAGCCTGTACCTGGCTCAGGTGCTCAAACTGGCAAGCCCTGCCCTGGTGTCAGGCCAGCCAGAGGGAAGCCCCGCCTACAGCAGCTACAAACACAAAGCATAGAGGCTTACACCTGTGTGTTTGGCCCACCGGTTCTGGTAGTGGAGACAGGATTGCAGCTGGGAAGCAGGAAACAGCTCTTTCCTCTCCCCAAGCACCAACAACTGCTCCCCTGTGACCCCTGACATTTCTCCAGGGGCTGAGCAGCCAGAGAGTAGAGCTTTTGGGCACTAGAGGGTACCACAGACAAATTATGAAATGTCAAAGGAACCTGGTTCAAAGCAAATTTATGAATACACCCGAGAAAGATTAAAATGAAATCGACCTCATGAATCTTCCTGAAAGAGATTTCAAAATAAAAATCATAAACATGCTCATGGAGGTACAGAAAAATATTTAAGAACTCTGGAACGAATTTAGGATGGAGATCCAGTTGTTGAAGAACACAATGGAGGGTGTTAAAAGCAGATTAGATATGGTGGAGACAATAAATTAAATAGAAATTAGGGAAGAGGAATACAAAGAAGCTGAGGCACAGAGAGAAAAAAGGATCTCTAAGAATGAAAGAATACTGAGAGAACTGCATGACCAATCCAAATGGAACAATATTCATATTATAGGGATACCAGAAGAAGAAGAAGAGAGAAAAAGAGACAGAAAGTGTCTCTGAGAAAGTAGTTGCTGAAAACATCCCCAATCTGGGGAAGGACATCATCTCTCAGGCCATCAAGGTGCACAGATGTCCCAACACAAGGGACCCAAGAAGGACAACACCAAGGCATATAATAATTAAAATGGCAAAGATCAAGGATAAGGACAGACAGTTAAAAGTGGCCAGAGAGAGAAAAAAAAACACATACAAAGGAAAACCTATCAGGCTATCATCAGACTTCTCAGCAGAAACCTTACAGGCCAGAAGGGAGTGGTATGATGTATTTGATGCAATGAAACAAAAGGGCCTTGAGCCAAG